GAGAGCCCCTTGGCCATTTAAATTCATTTAGGGCGTATCTAATATTCATTCAACATGCAAAATAGTCTATAGTGAAGACTAACCTAATATCCTAAGAAAGGTACACGTGACTAAAGAACTAACCTTTAGCTGTTCACCAACTAAACACACACAAGTACACAGCAGCAGTAGTATTACGCGAGCTCTTGTGCTAAAATGATCACTTTATTTCTTCTCCTTCAGGTTAACAAAGAAACACGTGTGCAATGAATTATTCAGACCGTGGCAGGTCTCAGGTATTAACTGCTCGTATTCCAATCTACCGCAGCACAATAGCGAAGAGGCTGTATGTATTGTAGGTACCAGGCAGTTAACAATGGAGCATCTTATCTCTATACATGCGGTAATTGATTGGGTGACGAAGAGGTCTGTAACATACCAAGGACGCACATACATGTGCACACTCCTGGCGCAAAAGCCACGTCCCTATACGCCCTACCCACCCAGACACCACGGCTAGGACAAGAACAGTCGTTCTGCTTGGCTTTCATTACACGACAACATGGCCAAAACACACTCAGTGGATTTGAGTCTGACACGTCAAAATAAACCAATCCAATGTGCTCTTCTTCGGCCCATCCCCTCAAATGCGTAATGCTACTTTTGAAAAAAGATGTTTAGTTCCTCACGTCCTCAAATCCCTGTTAAATAAATTCTGCTTTTTCAACAGGATAACCCAGCTGACACAACTGTGTTCCTCAGTCAAGAAGACTATTCAGATAAAATAGTCCACAAATGGTAATAAAGGCTCTACGAGTTAGAATGCAGGAAACCTTTCTCAACTAGAATTTGCAAGTTTCTACTAGCAGATGTAGATTTTAATGCGAAACTACACATTGAAAGGTGGTGAGGTGGTCTTGTGGTATGAATTTTTGACTCAAAATCTGAAGATTATCGGTTTGAATCACTGGCAAGCCCGCTGCTGTCTCAATTGAATAGACACATCCTTTCCGCACTCGACTAAGGTAAAATGAGTACCTAGCTTCGGTTAGGACCTTTCTCTAGGATGGAACGTAAATTCAGAGGTACTGTGTATAAAGAAAGCTACACCCTGAGCACGTTGAAGAAACCATCGCACTTTTCTGTAAGACCAGGGAACCATCCCATTGTGAGTGCTTAAAACCAGTACAGTCCAGTCTAATAAAGATTGTACTTACTGTAAAACCACGCGTTACGCAAACAAACATCCATACAAATTTTGCTAAATGTTTATACATATTTTAGTTGCATTATATTGAATATTTATTTCAAAAATAACAAATTTCACGAGCAACTGCTGCTTTATCTAAAAATTCTAACGGCTGTCCTCGCCATGTTACAGCGACGGTGAGAGCGATATCATTATTTCGTAATTTTCTCATACTCGTTCTACTAAAATTCTGGCGTGGGTACCACTCGTAGCCATTCGATATAACAAGGACGAACGTATGGCAACATGCTTTCTACTCGTGACCGTTAAGTCTACTTTACAGCTACAAATGTAGTATCCTAAGAAAGATACATGTAACTAAATGACTAACCTTTAGCTGATCACCAACTGAATGCATACAAGTACACTACAGCAGGAGCTCTTGTGCTAAAATGATCACTTTTTCTCCTACAGGTTAACAGAGAAACACGTGTGCAATAAATTATTCAGACTGTCGCAGGTCTCAGGTATTAACTGCTTAAATTTGAATGAATGAATGAAAGACCTTTATTGCACATTTATGCTCTTTCGAGCTAAGTACAGGTCATGAAGACAAACTAAGTAATACTATTGTTTACAGGATCGACTTCTTCTCGCTTCTTAAAACAATTGTAGATGAATGAACATATAGAACTTACAAAACACGGCTTGTCTAATTTCATAAGATATATAAATTTTTCTAAACTATTCAAATATTTAAAACTAGGAAACTTATTTTGAATACAGTTAAAAAGAATATTTCGCTCGCTATTGTATAAAGAGCAATCTACAACAAAATGACACTCGTCTTCTATCTTGTCTAAATCACAATATCGGCAAATTCTTTGCTGCAAGGGAATGTGGTTGTGTCTGCCTTTTTCTATGTGGAGTTTGTGGGAGCTAATCCGGAGTTTCGTGATGGCTGTTCTGTGTTTGATGTTAGAAATCTTTAGATAATCCTCCTCGAGGTAAGCGTTTTTTAATAATCTATATGTTCTTAGCTTGTTGTTGTTACGCATCTCCATTGTGGAAGATTGAAAATACATGTCTTTTAAACGTTGGTGGACGGATGGAATAATTTGAGAGGGATTCAAAACAGAGGACATTGGCGAATTCCAGACAAAGCCAAAACCACATTCCTCTAGCGTCTTGCGAACTCCAGAAGCCCAGCATTTAGCACCTGATGTGTCCAGCTCAAGCTGACACAGAAGGGCATCTGCTGAGAGACCGAATCTACCGCAGCACAATACGAAGAGGCTGTGTGTATTGTGCGTACCATACCGTCAACAATAGAGCATCTTATCTCTATAGACAGTTGTAATTTCTTGGATGACGTCGAGGTCTGTAACATATACCAAATATTCGCGCAGGTAGTATGTTGAGGACCTACCCCGACATTCGTTGAATTAACCCGCATTACTGTTAAATC